GCACTGAACCTGGTTAGACAATGGTAATGAATAGTGGCCAGATTTTTCAGGAATGGGTTGCAATCTGTGAAGAAATATGTACTTAGTCTGCCACTCCAAAATGACGAACATATCCATTTTGTGATACTTGGATGTCTGAGTCTCCATCCTACTAACAGGATGGGTTTTAGAAATGTTTTCATTGGCGGTCCTGTATGCCTTGTCTATAGCTGATAGCTCCTTCTTTCTGATCACATATGATGCAGGCTTTTTATGGCAGAATAATGTTTCATAGCAGTACTTAAACAACCTAACATTTTGTGGTGGTAGTCGGGGGGGGGGGGTATGTCTGTCTCTCTGTCTGTTTATGTGTGGGAAGGTTGGGCAACCCAACTAATTAGAGCAATACAGTCTGACTCACCCATTCATTTGTACTGGGATCCATCCTGATAAATCCCATCTAGATTACAGGTTAATTCTCCAATCTTTGTTACCTTAACAAATAGAATGGAATGACTCTATTTGGAGATTTACTGCATGGACTGTAGCTACATTGCCACACCAGAAAGGAGCTACCATGTAATTTAATTTAATTTAAAAATTAATTAATTTAATGCCTTCCTTATTATGTGGATATCAGCCAAATGGAAAATGTTATACAACTATAAAGTAAGATCATGAGTAACCCCAGTGTCTATCTACTCATGCTTGTGATCTCAATTACCTCTTTAGAATAATAACATTGACCTTTTGTTAAAAAAAGATTTGATTTGGTTAATGCAGATTTTATTGGTTGTTTGTTAACTAATTTGATTTTGTTTGGTTGATGGTTGCAATCTTCCCTCTCCCATCGTCATTAACCTCTATGAATGCTTCTCAAATAAATTCTTGAGATTATGAATGATATGAAAGAATTTGATTCAACTTGTGTCAGTGCTCAGGTTAATTCATGACTGAAACATACCCTTCAACACTTTACTAAACTGAAATTTATTCAGACAGGCAGAGAGTTAGATTTCTGTAGCTTAGCTGATAGGAGAACAATGCCACTTCTCTCTGTTCTGAAGGAATGTAAACAGCAAGAAATCAGAAGAAACATATCATAGGTTTTCTCCAAAAATATGGCCTGCCAAAAGTTGAAGGCTTTTTAGCATTATAATATTATTTTATAGTTTTTCTTCTTTGTGATTGAAGGATATAATACAACTGGTATAATATAGCTACAATTGTTATATCACAATATATATAAAGATATATTCAACAAAATCAAACTAGGAAAAGTATCAACAAAATGCAAATGGTATCTCTTTAATAAATGTATCATTAAACAAAACCTTTATGAAAAAGGTAGACCTTAAATGAATTCTCCAAGTGCTTTCCTAACATAATCTTATAGATAATGCATCTATGAAACTATACCTCATCAAATTAATCAGTGGGCAAATGTGCTATTTTTTTTAAAAAAAAATGTTTGACCAAATCAATGAAATGTGTAGCCTTTTGGCAGAGAGAGAGAGAAAGAATGAAACTTTTCCTATTTTTAAAACAGAAATACCTGGTATAGTCGAATAAAATCAGTAAATCCTGAGAATCATTTAAAAATAGGATAATAATCATAGGAATTTATATAATAGTCTTGGCATATGTTCTTCAACCATACAATTTCCAGCCATGATACTTGTGATTTTTGTCTGTGTTACCACAATAAATTTTACGTACAATGTACACCAAGGCAGTATTGCTTAAGAGGTTAAATGTTGCTCCTTAAAAAGTGTTTAGCCAGAATGAGTGTCTTCCTTGAATTGTTATCTGGTATTGCCAACAAAAAGCTCTCCCCGCAAAAAAAATTCTGGAATAAATTAGATGTTAGCATGTGGGTAAATGATTAATTATTTAATCATAAAACCCTAGCATAGCAAGGAGTCATGAAAGCCATGGAGTCCAACACCCCCTTCTCCCATTCTTTGCAGGAATTTAAATTAAAGTGCCTCAAACAGAAGGCTGTCTAGCCCCTACTTGAGCACATCCAGGGAAGGGGTGGCCACTGCTTCTGTGGATAATTGATTCCTCTGTTGAATTGCTCTTACAGTAAGGAAACTTAAATCAGAATCTGCTTTTTATACTTTAAATCCAGCTTGAAAGAAGACAGCGGGTCTTGATCTCCTTCTATGGGACATGTTCCCGTAATTTAAAGAAGATTCACCAATCCTTTCTCAAAACTAAATATGGCCAGGTGTTCCTCCATAGGGCTTAGTTTTTAGCCCCCCACCAGATCATTTTTATTATCCTTCTCCAAACTTTTTCTATTTTCTCTGAACCCCTCTTAAAGTATGATGTCCAAAAGCAAGAAAAGCACAAGAGTAGAATGATTACTTCGCCGAATTTGGAATTACTTTTTTGTTGATGAAGTCTAAATTGGCATTTTCTTCTTTGGTAGCTGTATATTTTTTGCTGGCTCATATTCAGTTTTCAATCAACTACAATTCCAAAATAAAGTTTTTCATTTATTTTTAAAAAATATTAATAGCAAGTGTGGTTTTCAACCACCTCATTCTTTATCTTTCTCTCCCCCCCACCTTAAGTTTCGTTCTGTTACTTTAATCCTCTTTTCCCAACCTATCAAGATTGCATTTCATTTTAAACCTGTCTCCTGGGGTGTTATCGGGACCACCAATTATGTACAATTGCACTTCCGTAAGCATTGCCTCCAGCTTTTTCATTTAAAACACTAATGAAAAAATTGAAGAGTAAACGACGTAGGAATGGTCATTGTCATATTTCTTCAGTGAGCTGATGGCACGCTTGGGATACAATTTTTGATCTAGTTTGTGTCCACTTAATTAGTGGGATATTTCAATTAGGGTATATAATACACATATAAGGTGACCAACTTTTTTACAATGAAAAGGAGGACACAAATAAATTGAAGAAAAATATCGTAAATAAAAGAAACATTTTATTCATTGCAACAATAATACAGACAACTTGCATGTGCAAAGTTTGCCAGCCGGGTGTTTTGGCGTGCTCAGCAGCAATTCCTATTGGCTTTTGAAAGCAGATAGTGGGAGTAGCACAGCTCATGCAAAAGTTGGAAAAAAAAACATCAAAAAGGTGCCAGAACGCTGTTCTGAGTGTTCTATGAGGGAAAAAAAAGCCCTGCAGATTAGTCTTCAAATATCGAAAAGGAGGACATGAAGGAGGACACTTTTTGAGGAAGGACAGAACTTACAAAAGGAGGACTGTCCTCCCTAAAGGAGGACGGTTGGTCACCTTATACATATATAATTCCCATAGTTTTTTTTTTCAAATGAGATAAAATTCGCTTGGCAAAACTTGCCCTTTACAATCCATACCTATTTTTGGTAATTGCCACCTGTTCTTGACAATCTCCTCTGCAACAGAAGAATACAGGAATCCCCTTCAAACACATGGAAGAGCAGGACTCTGCTTCCTCATGCCCCAAGTAAACCAGAGAAAGTTCTTTTCAGCTCCACTGGGTTCAGTGCTTTTTTTGTAAAAAAAAGAAAGAAAAAAAAGAATGCCGGAACTCACACATGTCATACAACCCGCCTGGCCTACCCTACAAGGTTCCATCCCAAAAAGGTACCGGAACTCCGTTCTGGGCTTTCTATGACAAAAAAAGCCCTGACTGGGTTCATGCTATCTCCTAAGGCAGGGGTCTTCAAACTTGGCCCTTTTATGACTTGTGGACTTCAACTCCCAGAATTTCTCAGCCAGCGTGCCTGCCTGAGGAATTCTGGCAGTTGAAGTCCACAAGTCATAAAAGGATCAAGTTTGAAGACCCCTGATCTAGTCCCACTGTTGCATGACTCTTATTATCAGGAAGTTTTCTGTAAAATTCATTTACTTCTCTTAAATTCAAAGCTGCTACATTCTAGGGACCGTGGCTGTCAACTGATGGGCTCGTAATTATTGACCTCTACCCATCCAGCTTTTTTTTAATTAAGACTTTCACAAACCACTTTTGAGTTCAAGGGGGAAGAGTCACCAGTCCTGGTCATCTTATGCCACATGGAGTATTCTTTCCAGATACAAAGGACAGCACTGGCCAGGCTAGTCTGCTACAGCCTGAAGTAGGTCCATACTTTTCTATATCAGCTAGGATTTCTGAGCTAGCAATGTTAAGTTGTTGTTGCTATTTTTTATGTGACATCGATTGATTCTATGGAGTGGTTTTCTTTTCCAGATATTTATTAATATTTACAACAGACTATATTTTATGTTACATCTTATTTCTACTACATTGTCCCAGTACTTAATAACAGTAGGCGTTTGTGATAGTAATGTTGTTTTAGTCACTTTTGTTAGAATTTATAGACTGACAAATGACTGGTTGCAAATTTTGCAGGAAGGGCACTGTTCACTTAGGGACTCAATGAAATACACAATTTTATTAGAAGGCACAAAAATTCTTTCTTGCCATTGTGCAAGCTTGTTCTTTCTGTATGCATGTGATTTATTTGGTCCTGGAGATTTAAACATTTGAAGTAAAGAACTGTCCCTTAGCTATGTATCTATGAATTGCAACTTGCCTATCGGTTTTCTCATCCTGTTTTTCTTAATTTTCTGGTCACTTTTTGTTGTTGTTGTTGTTGTTAAAAAAGACTGAATCAAATAATAGTTACACAGCTGTGACTTTTCTGTGTTGTGCGTTACCATACCTAGCACTCCTCCAATTTACCTCATAAACAACGAGCCTGTGAGGTAGATTCGGCTGAGAGAGAGTCATTCAATTATTGTAAATCCAGGCCTGCTTTCAAAAAAAAAAAAAAATGAAAATTTTTAAAAACTCAAGACTTTCATTTCTCAAAATTTGATCAGGCTGTAGACCAGGACAGGGAGATTAGTCCATACAAGCCTTAGCTAATGGGATGCAATTGTCATGTGTGATGAGGTGAGGGAGGGAGATCTCCGCCAGGGGGGTGAACTGGGACAGTGCAGTGGAATTCCAGACATTCCCTTTGCTGCTCTCCATTGATGAAGCCTTTTCTCCTTTCCAGGTCAGTGAATAATTTCCTGATGACTGGTCCCAAGGTAAGTCCATTCCCTTTGATCTCCATTCCTAATTTCAAGAAGCACAAATCATCTGGACCTCGTTTCTTTCCTCCTTCCCAGATTTGATAAAGGTCAGGAGCGTGGCTGCAGGCTAAATTTGACTTGCAAACACAAGAAAACTTTTTTTTTTTTGCTTTTTTGAATTCTTGCTCCAAAGAAGAGAACCCCGTGTGATTATTTAATTAAATTGTGGACCGGTCTGTGCCATTAATTCTTCAGTGGCAGCAGGAAAATTGGCTTGTAAACAGTAATACTGACACTCTCAACTGACACATGTTATACACATCCCAGAATCTGGCTACTAAGAGTGTTAATTTAACAGAATAATAATAGTAAGGTGACTAGCCATCCTCCTTTAGGGAGGACAGTCCTCCTTTTGTAAGTTCTGTCCTCCCTCAAAAAGTGTCTTCCTTCATGTCCTCCTTTTCAATATTTGAAGACTAATCTGCAGGGCTTTTTTTTCCCTCATAGAATGCTCAGAATGGCGTTCCAGCACCTTTTTTGATGGTTTTTGTTTTCAACTTTTGCATGAGCTGTGCTACTCCCACTATTGGCTTTCGAAAGCCAATAGGAATTGCTGCTGAGTGCGCCAAAACATCCGGCTGGCAAACTTTGCACATGCAAGTTGTCTGTATTATTGTTGCAATGAATAAAATGTTTCTTTTATTTATGATATTTTTTCTTCAATTTATTTGTGTCCTTTTCATTGTAAAAAAGTTGGTCACCTTAATAATAGAATAGCAGAGTCTTGGAGGTCTTCTAGTCCAACTCCCTGATCAAGCAGGAGAACCTCAACTTCTTTATAGTAAAACTTTTCCTACAAAATATACGCCTTGCCACAATAATTAGTGCTCCAGATAATTCAGTGTAAATTATTTTGATTAATGTACGCGGGATTTGTTCAAAATCACCAGTTACTGTAGGTTGCTGGTGGGAGCCCAGTGTTTCCACTATGTGATGTTTACTGGCTGAATTACTTTGGACTATCAGACGGTTTTTATTTGGCAGCCTACTTCTTTCATATCAGTTCTAATATGCTTTGATTGGTATCTGTACCCCAGTTTAGATCTCTAGCTTCACAAAGCCACAGGTTCCTGATTTTTCCCTTCATTGCATCTTCCTAGCAGCATGTTTGGCCGGGAAATTCTTCAGAGTCAATACTGTACTGTTAAAGATTGTAAAATTCCGGCTCCTCAGTGAGATATTTGGTTAAATATTGACATCTTTTAAATACATTTTGGTCAGTTGTTATTTTTTAAAAATTCATTACTGTTAATTTCCTTCGAGAAGATGGGAACTCCTCGTCCCACTCCCTGCGTTTTGCCTAAAAATTGTTTTGGAAAAATAGGAAGGTTGATGATTTCACCAATTTACCTCGAAGCTCCTTCTCTGTTCTGACCTCCTCCCCTTGCAGGCGTACCTCATCTACTCCAGCAGTGTTGCAGCTGGTGCCCAGAGTGGTATTGAGGAATGCAAGTTCCAGTTTGCTTGGGATCGTTGGAACTGTCCTGAGAGAGCTTTGCAACTCTCCAGCCATGGAGGCCTTCGCAGTGGTAAGAAAAATGATGGGGGGGGGGGGCTGCTTCCATTAGCTATGTACCAATTATATTGTATTTCTATATGTATTATATTTCTCTGCTGGAATCGGATAAATAAGAGTTCCTTATGGAATAAGTTGTTGCCTGATATTCTAATGTCCTGCAGGTGTGTGCTTCTTTTAAATTGCAGGTAATCCTATCCCAAGAAGATATTGCTATCGTCCATAGCCACAACAATTTGTCTACTAGTTAGAAAACAAGAAGACTAAGGCAGAAATAAGTGGACAGTCCTCAGACTGGAGAAAAGATTGGAGTGAGATCCTTTAGGAAATGAGATTAGTTTTTTCAGATGTGTTCATGAGCAGTCTGGGGACAGGAGAAAACATGGAGGTTGCTGATGGTAGTAAACTATTCTGGATTTAAAAAAAAAAACCAACATGGGATTACAAAGAACTTCAAAAGCTCCTACCTAAGCAGGTGACCTGGCCTCAAAATGGTAAATACGGTTTACTGTAAGTAAGTGAAGCATGTTGAGCTTGGAGACTCAGCAGATAAGAGGATAGTAGTAAACATAGCCATTTGTTATATGACACAGATAGAGATGTTTATTCTTTCTCAGTATTAAAACCTCTTTTAACTAGTGAAGTATGAATCAGCAGTGTGCTGCAGTTACCAAAGAAAAAAGAAAAAAAAAGCCAATGTAGTCCTAGGCTATATAAACAGAGGGACAGAATCAAGATAACATAAAGTGTTAGTACCACTTTGCAACGCCTTGGTAAGACCCCACTTGGAATACTGCATCCAGTTTTGCTCGCCTAGATGTTGAGGCTCTAGAAAGAGTACAGAGAAGAGCAACAAGGGCTGGAGGCTAAAACATGAAGAACAGTTGCAGGAATTGGATCTGTCTAGTCCAGTGAAAAGAAGGACTAGGGATGACATGATAGCAGTGTTCCACTATTTGAAGGGCTGCCACAGAGAAGGGGGGGGGGTGTCAACCTATTTTCCAAAGCATCCGAAGGTAGGACAAGAAGCAACGGATGGAAACTAATCAAGGAGAGAACCAACCTAGAGATAAGGAGAACTTTCCTAACAGTGAAGACAATTAAGTGCAAAGGCTTTCCTTCAGAAGTTGTGGGTGCTCCATCACTTGAATTGAACTGAACTGAATATTTGGTCAAATGTACTTAGACACACAAGGAATTTGTCTCTGGTGCAAAAGCTCTGAGTGCATGTGCAAAGCAACAGAACAATTGTAGTCATCATCATAATACTAGATGGGGAGTAAAGGATAAATAATAATACTACAGTCCTATTACATGGGTAAATAATGGAGGCTTTTAATAAGAGATTGGGCAGCCATTTATCTGAAATGCTATAAGGCAGAGGTCCCCAACTTTTTGGGCACCAGGGACCGGTTCCGTGGAGAGAGGTTTTTTTCATGGACTGGAGGGTGCGTGGTTTTGTGTGCTCTCTGCATCTCACGGATGGGGCTTTGCTTGTTTATGTGGACCGGTGCCAGTCCACAGACTGGGGGTTGGGCACCCCTGGTGTAAGGTCTCCTACTTGAGCAGGGGGTTAGACTAGAAGATCTCCAAGGATCCTTCCAATTTTGTTATTCTGTAACATTAATTCCATTCAAAGTAAATATTGGACTGAACAAGCACTTGACTGAAGGAAGCACTGTAATTACAGAATTACAGAATTACTAATAAGCATTGGTTACATTCTGCATAGTTCTACTACTCCAGAGGGTAAGGCCCATTGAGAACTTTCTTGACCACTCCTATCAGCTTTCCATAAGCTACCACCATTTGTCAGGGAAGGACCGGCCAGCAACTTTTTTCACCTGTTGTCTTCTGATCTAAAGCTGCTGATATCTCCTTTTTCTTTTAACAAACTGGGAAAACCAATTACATATGAACGACACTTAATGTGGCCACTGATAATTTAGGAATGGTAAGCTACTACTTCTTTTTTCGGGACAAAATTGTGCATGATAAGACAACATGCCAAAAATATACTTAAAACATTTTCTTCAATAGTTCTTTAATGAGCTGCATGAAAGCAGCTCATGTGCATTAATGCAGGGGTCTTCAACCTTGGCCCTTTTATGACTTGTGGACTTCAACTCCCAGAATCTCTCAGCCAGGCACGCTGGCTGAGGAATTCTGGGAGTTGAAGTCCACAAGTCATAAAAGGGCCAAGGTTGAAGGCCCCTGCATTAATGGGAGCTAGTTATTTTTTAAAAAAATTAGTGTAAACAACTATTAATATGCCACTCCCCTCACAGTTTTATATATTTAACAATATATTTCACTGAAAATCACTTTCCTCTCTGTCAAAGGAATCCTGGAGTGGACTTTCAATTAAAAACAAAAGTATCTTATAGATCAGTGGTGGCGAACCTATGGCACGCGTGCCACAGGTGGTACACAGAGCCCTCTCTATGGGCATGCACGCGTCGCCTCAGTCCTAGGCCTTCAGCTGGGTTTTATAAAACCTGTTCACTTTAGGCCTCCACCGCCATGTGCAAAAAAAAAAAGTTCAATCAATCAATCAATTTCAACGTGCGGGGAAAAAAAATCTCGCAAAGTTGGAATTGATTGATTGAACTCTTTGGTCCCACCCAGTCTGCTGTTACCACTGCAGCCACGCCCACCCAATGGGCCACGCCCACCCAGCACCCGACGATACATAAGTGGGTTTTGGGTTGCAGTTTGGGCACTCGGTCTCTAAAAGGTTTGCCATCACTGTTATAGATTTACCGGGCTAAAAAAAAGTCATAGATTCTACTGTTTTCTCCTAAGCTGCAGTTTCTTTGGCTAAGTTGTTGTGTAATTATTTCACAGCTAACCGAGAAACAGCTTTTGTCCATGCAATCAGCTCAGCTGGGGTCATGTACACATTGACACGAAACTGCAGCCTTGGGGACTTTGACAATTGTGGATGTGATGATTCTCGCAATGGACAGTTTGGTAAGAAGTAACCTCAACAGCACATTCCTTCTCTATGAACAGCTTTTCTCCACTGGCCTCTTGCCATGCTAAACTTCATTCTAAAAAATAGAGGAAAGAGAACAGTGATGTATTTCAAACAAACTCAAAAGCCTTTAAAAAAATATGTGCGGGCAAAATGTCTCCTATTTGCATAGATCTATTTATAGCTTTTCTCAGGTCAGGAATCTGAAAGCAGGTGATATTTATATAGCTATGCAGGTATCTTATCCAAGTATTTCCCCCCCCCCACTTTCTGGGCTAATGCCCAGTAATCCTAATTCTTTTTTTTTTTATGTACTAAAGTTGAACCTTTCTTCTGCTATCTATCGGCTTGATTACACAAGGTATTTCCCAATGTAGGGCAATAAAATTATCAGATGGTTGCTTGGATCAGGAGATGTTCTTAAAACTGATTTTCCTATTGATTGGCATGGAAAAAGCATAAATGGCAGCATCCTTTTGTTTTCTCACAAAAGGAAATATGCAGAGGAGGAGGAAGAGAACAAATGGGCCAAATTTCACTGAAAGTAGTGTGAAGGTTTCGGAGCTACCTTTCTTAGTTTTCATGCAGACTTAAATTTCTCGGGTAAAATTTCAGACATTGGGAAATGAAAAATGAGCCAGGAGGTATAAATAGTCAAATTCAAGATTTGGTAGACAGTGAGGAAGGAAAACTGTTAATGCTTCTCCTGGATGAGAAATGAGAAGAAAAGTAAAAAAGAAATAGTTTCATAAAGGTGTAGGAAATTAAAAGACCTGATGATTCCATGCAAATTTTTTACAATCTCTGGAATATTATTGTTAGTCTGGTTACAATAAGATCCTTTGCTGGCTAAAATAAGTTAGTAGAACTGTTTCACGGATTCATCCCTTAAAATTAAAATCTTCTGTACCAAGAAAGCATAGTTTCAGCGTTGCGCTGCATTTTGTTTTTTAGTTGTTTAGATCAGACATCCAGGTAAGAAGAAAAAGGGAGCAAACTGGAATGGAGCAGACATGCCACAGTTTGCATGCTATGACAGGGTGCCAATTTATTGCTGGACTAACTAAATAACTAAAAATAATATCTCACACTTTGGGGGAAAAAAAGGGGAGGCCTCTTTGCCAGGATGATTCCCCTCCCTACTGTGACATTTTGTGTAAATGGAAGATGAAGACATAGCCCAGTGGTGGCGAACCTATAGCACACGTGCCAGAGGTGACACTCAGAGCCCTCTCTGTGGGCACATGCGCCATGCCCCGGAGATGACAACCATCCCTCTTCAACCAGCCGCCCGCTAACTGGCCGAGGTCCCACATGGCCGGATGCATCCCAGCACCCATGCGCTTGCTGGCCTGTGTGTGCAGGGGCTGATGGTGTCAGGCAGCAGCTGTCCCAGCCCCTGTCTCACCTTTCCCTGTGACAATGGCACCCCCGCCTTCCCTTGCCTTGCCTCACCCCGCAGGATGAGCCTCCTGCCCATCGCCCCACCTGCCAGAGACCCCCTGGATCTCCCCCAACCCTGCCTGGCCCCCATAGACGTCCCTTCCCACAAGCAACATCGAGGTGATCACATCCACATTGGCCACACCCACCCAATCTGCCATGACCACCACAGCCACATCCATCCAGTGGGCCACACCCACCTGGCACCCGGCGATAAATAAGTGGGTTTTGGGTTGCAGTTTGGGCACTCAGTCTCTAAAAGGTTCGCCATCACTGACATAGCCCGTTTTTCTTACATGTGACTTAGTACTCTTAGCAGAACAGTGATTCAGGATAAGCCAAAACTTGGCACGGAGGGGACTGGGTCCAGAAGAATGAACATGTATTCCGAATTCCTTGCCTTGAACTCTGGGCTTCAGCCAGATCTGATGCTGTTCTTAGCCCACCCACTGATGTACCCCATCTAACAGTCGGGTGACACCTTTGTCTCTGCAGGAGGCCAAGGATGGCTGTGGGGAGGCTGCAGTGACAATGTGGGCTTCGGGGAAGCCATTTCCAAGCAGTTTGTGGATGCCCTTGAGACAGGGCAGGATGCCAGAGCAGCAATGAATCTGCATAACAATGAAGCTGGCCGAAAGGTAATCTCATCCCCATATACTGCAAGGAGAAAAGTCAGGAGAAGCGAGGGAGTGTCAGAGTCTTCCGGTGTCCGCTATGGGTAAATTTTTAATGAAGCATTTGGCCGCTGAAATAACCCTCCGTTCTGTGTTATCGGGGAATTTCAGTTGCTAGAATTGAAGGAAAAGCTAAAAAAGTTTGGGGTGCTCCTGTATGTGGGAATGATCTTGCCAAGCTGAAGAGTCAGGTAAGTGAGAGCACAGCCTGCAGCTACGGGGGGGGGGGGGGAAACAAGGGGCTCAGAACAGACCCTCCCCTAAGTTATCGGTCTATAAAGTCTAACAATAGCAGAATTGTACTTGCAAGATTCTGTTAATATAGTTTTACAATAAAATAATTTTAGCCAATCTGTTCGTGTTTCCTGTCTGGTCTACTTTGTAAAGCTGATAATTCCAATGTTATTCTGAATGTCCATTCCATGCAGGAAGGCAAGATACCTGTGAATAATGTTAGGATGTAGATTGGGGCAAGTTGACACTTGGCTTTGGAAATTCTTGGATTGTGCTGATTGAAGCATGATTTCTAGCTCTGCCAGTCATGAAAGGGGAGTTACTCATCCTAATATAAGAGTGAGAAATCTTTTTCTTATCAAGTTCGAGGTCACCCAGCAGAAAAGTCAATCAATGTCTGAACTGTTGCAATGCTTGAACCAGATTTCTCAAATATATTGTACAGGAGGACACATTTCTCTTTCTCTTCCCTACAACTTCCTGCTTAGAATAGAATAGAGCTGGAAGGGACCTTGGGGGTCTTCTAGTCCATACCATTTCAGACAAGTGACTGTCCAGTCTCTTCTTAAAAACCTCCAGTGATGGAGCACCCACAATTTTTGGAGGCAAGCTGTTCCACTGGTTGATTGTCCTCACTGTTAGAAAATTTCTCCTTAATTCCAGGTTGCTTCTCTCTTTGGTCAGTTTCCAACCATTGTTTCTTTTTCTGCCCTCTGGTGCTTTGGAGAATAATCTGACCCCTTCTTCTTTGTGGCATCCCCTCAAATACTAGAATGCTGCTATCATGTCACCTGTTTCCTCTTTTCTTTAGACTAGCCAAATCTAAGTCCTGCAGATGTTCTTTGTACATTTTAGTCTCCAGGCCTTTGATCATTTTAGTTGCTCTTCTCTGAACTTTTTCCAAAGTCTCAATATCTTTTTTGTAGTATGGTGACCAAAATTGGTTGCAGTATTCCAGGTGTGGTTTTACTAGGGTTTTATAAAGCGGTACTAATACTTCCCATGATCTTGATTCTATGCCTCTGTTTATACAGCCCAGGATTGTATTAGGTTTTTTTGGCTGCTGCTGCTGCACACTGCTGGCTCATATTTAAGTGATTGTTCACTAGGGCTCCAAGGTCCCTCTCACAGTTACTGTTTTTGAGCCAGATCTCGCCTAATCTGTACTTATACCTTTGATTTTTCCTGCCTAAATGTAAAACTTTGCTTTTCTCCACATTCAAATTAATTTTGTTGGATAGGGCCGATTTTTCAAATTTGTCAAGATCTTTTTGGATCCTGAGCTTGTCTTCTGGGGTGCTGGCTATTGCTGTCAGTTTAATGTCATCTGCAAATTTGATGAGTTTCCCATCTATTCCCTCATCTAAGTCATTTATGAAGATATTGAAGAGTGCTGGGCCTAAGACGGAGCCTTGTGGTACCGCACTGCGTACTTCTCTCCGTGTGGACTACTTGATGAGTATGGTTTGTCAGCCAGCTACAAATCCATCCGGTGGTGATGTTGTCTATCCCACCTTTTTCTAGCTTACTAAGCAGCAAGTTGTGGTTTACTTTTCTCTCTTTCTTTGCCACAGGGCCGATCCTGTCATTAAGTGTCACGAAATGGTTCTTCCTTCCAACCTGCAGCTTGACCCTCTTATGTTATTTTGTTTACAATGTACAATGTTCTTCAGAACAGCTTGCCTCCTTGCATGCATTGATCTCAGAGATCCTACAAGTGATGGTGTGATGTGGTGTCATCCTTGTCCACACTATGCCATTCTCAGAGCCCTTAACCTGGTACCTGGGATGGGCTGTTGCCCGGCTAACCAGAGTTATAGCAGTTTCCCTGCTGCTTTCGGAAACATGCGGGAGAAAGAAATGGCAGGTGCTCTTTCCATGTGAAACAGTGCTGGATCCCCCTTGAATTCTTGTTTCTCACTACTCCACTCACCACCGACAACCTCAGTGGTGTGTGCAGGTGCTCAACTATTAATGATTGAAATATCTTCAAATGTGCAAGAAAAGGGCTTCAATATAGAGAATATAAAACAGACATTCAGAAAATGACTATTTTTAAGAAATAAGATGAAACACAGAATTGTCCAACAAAACCTACTTCATAGTAACATAGCTTGGAGATGATCTGGGAGCGTGTAGCATGGAAGGACTGAAGCTCCATTCAGAAGGGAAGAAAACCTGAGAAACAAACTATTGGATACGGCTAATGGACCACTTCTAGAGCTCAGGCTTTTATTTGTTATTTACAGCAGGGCCAGGCAAACTCGGTATGAGCCTGGTCCCCATTTTGCTGCCATGATTTATGCTCCATTCATCATGCACTTTTCAAACTGTATACCATCACTCAACTGCAAAACAGGGGAAAGCCAAAAAGTCTGAGTCATTTATCATTATTACTTTTTTAACAGTATTTTTATGCATATAGTAAAATACCATTTGCAATAACGAGCATGCCTATCACTTCCTACCATCAAACTGGTTATTTTTTCTAGAGTTGACATAATAGGAAGGAATAAGTACTTGGTGAATCCAAATAATAGCTTTGGAAACTAATCACTGCATCCAATCCTTCATTATGTCATGGTTCCGGCAGATGAAACCCGTCAAAAGAACCTCAAGGCAAAATTCTTTCTTAAAGAAACATTTTATTCAGGAAACAAAGTATCGGCACTACATAGTTGAACCCAAAACTAAATTCCCTTCCCCCAGATACAAAGTAACGTTGCAAATCCCACCCTCATGAAGCAGTCATAAATCACATTCTCCAATTTGCCTGAAGCGCCGGGCTCCCTCTCCAGCTCCTCAGCCCATCAAAACGTTATCAGTTTGTGTCCTTGAGTTCCCATGGAGCTGCATTATTATTATGGCTAACTGAGCTTGAGTATTCACCCCATCCCCCCTTCTGCATCTCATTCCTAAACAGAAGAAAAAGCAAGCTGAAAGCAGAGAAAAATGGCGGCAATTTCCCTCAGTTGTCAGAGAGGGAACATCCATTGTCACAGCATTGACACATTATTTTAATCTGGAGAGAGAAAGTAATTTGCTGGTAACATTGTACAAAATCCTGAAATATCTTTCTCGAAGGAATGCCAAACATTTTCTTGTAGCCAGATGTTAAGACAGATTTTAGGCAAAATCTCAATTAGTTTTCTATGTTGAACTGAAATAAGACGTTCTTGTTCCTTAGTTTTGTTGCTTGACCTCTACTCTGTTGTTGCCTTAATCTCTAGGCAGTGAAAGGGACGATGAAGAGAACCTGCAAGTGCCATGGGGTTTCGGGCAGCTGCACCACCCAGACCTGCTGGCTGCAACTCCCCGAGTTTCGAGAAGTGGGGACATACCTGAAGGAGAAATACCACAAAGGATTGAAAGTAGACATACTGAAAGGGGTGGCCAACAGCGCTGCAAGTCGAGGCGCCATAGTGGAAACCTTCAGCTCAATCTCCAAAAAGGAGCTTGTCCACTTGGAAGACTCTCCTGACTACTGCTTGGAGAACAAGACTTTGGGCCTCTTAGGCACGGAAGGCCGGGAGTGTCTGAAGAGAGGCAAGGCCCTGAGTAAGTGGGAGAAACAGAGCTGCCAGCGCCTGTGTGGAGACTGTGGGTTGGCTGTGGAGGAACAGCGAGCAGAAATGGTGTCGAGCTGCAACTGCAAATTCCACTGGTGTTGCGCAGTTCGCTGTGAGCAGTGCCGCAAACGTGTCACCAAGTATCACTGTGTACGCAAGGAGAAGGGAGAGCAGCACGGGGGCAACGTGCCCCCACGGAAGCTCCGGAGGAAGCAGCCTTAGTGCCGACTCAGCATCCTTTGCTCCTTCACAACATCTCATATTTTATTCACTTCTGCTTTGTTTTCCATGTTTAGATCTATCTATGAAAAGGAAGCCTTCGCCTATCTAGTCTTTAATCCCACTTTGGAGAACCCACCGGAAGACGTTTGCAGATGTTCCAGAAAAGATGAACGTAGCCCCAAGGTGACAGACTGTTACGGAATGAGTTTGGTTTTTTTTAATCACCATATCGAAGAATGAAAGTAGGGTATTTTGAATTGTTGGCAGGGGTTCTTGAGCTGTCCTGTTGACAGCTAGCTAAACTAGAGAGCCAGTTTGATATAGTGGTGAAGACATCACGCTGGAAACCAAGAGGCCATGAGTTCTAGTCTTGTCTGAGTCAACAGTTGGATGATCTCGGGTGAATTTTTTTCTCTCAACCCTCGGAAGGAGCAAACCACTTCTGAAAAGTCTTGCCAAGAAAGTCTCCAACAATTGGACAATGACAGAAAAGAATTAAAAAAACCCTAGAGCAGTGGTTCTCAACCTTTTTAATGCCGCGACCCCCAACCGGTCGTAAGTCGAGGACTGCTCAACCGGTCGTAAGTCGAGGACTACTCAACCGGTTGTAAGTCGAGGACTACTCAACTGGTGCAGCACCGTTTGCAGAATGGGACTTTTGGCGGGCTCAGCAGGGCAGAGATAGCCTGGACAATTCCTATTGGCTTTTGAAAGCCAATAGAATTAGACTCTATTCAAGAGAGTCTATTCTATTGCTTTCAAAAGCCAATAGAATAAAAAGGAGTAGCACAGCTAAGGAAAAGGGGGAAAAAAATGGAGGACTGAGTTGTTTGGCGACCCCCGTGAAATGGTGGTTCAACCCCAAATGGGGTCCCGACCCACAGGTTGAGAACCACTGCCCTAGAGTAATATATTTTCAAAGGCTTTCTGTGTTAATATCAAATTTCCATCTGTTGCAGATTTGTTGACCAAGTTTGAAAAGGCCAACACACAAAGTAGTTATTCCCACCTACAACCATTGTTACAGAAAGGGAATCCAGCCATGTATCCTGGTTTAACCTCTCAAGTTTTGATGCTTCCTACTGGACTGGAATGTCACGTCGTGCTTACAGTCAGAAATATTCTCAGATCTACAAATCCAAATCTGATACTTTAAAACAGTTTCCCTTCTTGCATAGAGTTTTGTTTTGGCATCTTAGAGCTCTAGAGTAAATTAAATAATTTTTATTTGGGATACCTGACTGGGGTAAGAGGCACGTTAGGAGAGAAAGTGTTGCTGAATTATGAAATTATCCTATTTATAAATAATACGCTAGCCTATGTTAGGAGGGAAAGGGAAGGAAAAGGCTGCCAAAATGGAATATAATTTTAAGGAAAATTTGCCATATTTTTAGAAGAAAAAATATTTGTGACATATACTGTGTCCTAATTTCAGACAAAATCTACTCAGAACCTTTCCATGTGATGGATTGAAATTTGTTACACATTTGTTGCTCATTTGATGGTTCCAGTAGTTACTGAACTTAAGAAGACAGATAACCATGTCTTCTATTTGTAATCCTTCCAAGTCTTTGAACCTCCCTCCCTCCCTCCCTTCTCTTTACAGAGAATATTTATGAGAGGAGCAAACACTATACTCAGATTCCATTTGGTTGAGTTCACACAACATACTTTACCAGATTTAATAAAGACATAGCAGATGATCTACATAGCTGCTAAATTGGCCAGAATCATCTTGAAATTGTTTCATGGGTTAGCTTCCATGAATCCAGCCCATATGGTCACATTATCTTTCAAATTTTGTGTCAGCTCAGTATTCAAGAACCAGATTAGATAGATTGCGTGAAAATACAGTATCTTCCCTCAGTGAAAGATAGAAGTTGCTTTCACAGAAGCAGTAACTATACTTGATCCTCTGACTTTTGATTACTACCAGTAGCATCTGTGGTGGAGGATGGGTGGGGTTAACATCTGCAAGAAGGCAGCTGCAGTATCATGATCCAAACCCTGCCCCTTTTGTACACCTGTATGAAAGAGGCTGAGCTCCGAATGTGAAAATATACTCATCATCTTGCAATGATGCCCCCCATGTTGCTAATTATTAGCAGATGCAGATCCACTTGCAAAAAGATACAACAAACTCGTGTGACGAGGGCTGTCCCAAACAATGTCACAATAGGAGGAAGATACTACTACATTACTGAGACTGTGTTGGGACTACCAGAAGTTCCACTTAAAGTGCTTTTGTTTCAGGTCACTGGAAAATGAGGAAAGAACAGAATGAGGAAAAACTAACAGGACATTTGCCAAATAAATTAATAGAGGGGAAATTGGCTGAACAGAATTCCACCCAAATAAATGGCAAAACATGCTGCAATTTTCATTTTTTAGCTAAGATTTGGTGTATATTCCCTATGATAAGAACTCAAAGAATTTTACTTGAAAAAATTATTCCTTCCTGGTAGAGATTCTAGGCTTTTTTTTGGGGGGGGGGGCTTCTCTTTGATCATCAACAGTGCAGTGCAGTGTAAATAAGGGTTTTAGAGACTCTAGCTGGAAAATGTCAAGGTGCCATTTGACCTTCTTAATCAGCTGCTGTCTCAAATATTCTGATTTAGTGATCCCATGACTCCGTCTCTCATGCTTCTTCAGGATACCTTGAACATGAGCTAGTGATTTGCTTGGATTTTCCTGAGAATTCTCAGCTAATTCTTGGCTTCTTCGTAGGAACAATCTTCCTAGCATTACGCTGTAAATACCAGTATTAAGAATACACTTTGCAGTCGTGAAACTGAGAGCAAGTATTGTAAACAATAGTGTGTTGTTGATTTAAAAGATGTGAATTATCACTGGCCATATTTGAGGTGAACCATGTACGTCAGACATGTCAAACTCGTGACATCATGTGGCATCACGCAATGTATCGGAGCTTTTTCACCATTGCCAGCAATGGGGGTGGGCGCGGCAACGATATGATGAAACCAGCCCACAGGCCGGCAGTTTGACACCCCTGATGTACATACTTATTTCATTTAAGTGCTGTGTTGGAACATTACTGGCATCTATACTGGCTTGTAAACAGCATGGGGGTCTTACTCTCTACGTTGAACCCCAATCTTAAATCAGACCTTTTACTGGAAAACTGGACATCTAGATTGATATTCTATGTCCAATCCCACTGTTTCAGAATGAAATCCTCACCATGAAAACTTCTTTCTTAATCACTTCCAGAATCTTCCCCCTTCCATGGCATAGAAAATTAAGATATAAAAAAAACTAAGCACTTTGAAGTTTTATTGCACAGTTAACATTATTATTTGCTCTTGTGAGTTGTATTTTCTTTGCTGGACTCATAAAATAACTACAACCACGGATGACAGATCTTTACACTCTACCTGTACTGTGGATCAGTTATCCAAATTTGTGGTGATACACTGGGAATTTTCTGTAGGTTGAGACAGAACACTGTCTATTTCAATTTTCCTTGTTAATTTTCCCAAGAAAATTAGGCAGAGCAGTTTTTAAGCATGTTATAATTAAGAGCTTAGGACTTAACCAGTAAATAAATTGAAAGTTAAGTGATGCTTTTTTTTTAAAACATTAAGGTGCTGATAAATTTGCTATGTTCAGCCTTCCACCTCTGAAGCATGAAAGGCCTCTAGTGGGAGGAACACAGTGGGACATAAAAGGAATATATTAGGATTTGTTCTTTATCTTACCTATATGCTGCAGATGCCTGTACTTCTGTGTTCCTCATTCAAGTCTGTTTAAAAAGGGTGGCAGGGAAAGAAAACAAGGAGCTGGGAGACTGAGGAATTGAGACTACAAACTGAATCAAGCGGAGCCAAATAAGTTGCCAATGGCTGTGTCATGCTCGAAATGAAGAGAGATTTCTGTCTCAAGCACAACATAAGTTAATAATATTAATAATAATAATAATAAAGTTGGAAGGGACCTTGGAGGTCATCGAGTCCAACCCCCTGCTCAGGCAGGAACCCTACACCATTTCGGACAGATGGCTGTCCAGTCTCTTCTTAAAAACTTCCAGTGTTGGTGCATTCACTGCTTCTGGAGGCAGGTTGTTCCACTGGTTAATGGTTCTGTCAGGAAGTTTCTCCTTAGTTCTAGGTTGCTTCTCTCCTTGATCAGTTTCCATCCATTGCTTCTCGTCCTGCCTTCAGGTGCCTTGGAAAATAGCTTGACTCCCTCTTCTTTGTGGCAGCCCCTGAGATATTGGAACACTGCTATCATGTCCCCCCTTGTCCTTCTCTTTGTTAAACTAGACTTACCCAATTCCAGCAACCATTCCTTTTATGTTTTAGCCTCCAGTCCCCTGATCCTCTTAGTTGCTCTTCTCTGTACTCTTTCTAGAGTTGACCAGTCTTGGGTCCTCTATCTATACAGCCTTGACTGAGGACTGAGTATTTGAGTGACAGTTGAGGAGTGGTCAAATTTAGTGCTTTGTCAGCAAAGGAGAGGGAATCACCTTTGTCTGCCCTCTCTCTGCTATGCTTGTTGAATGGCTGAAAATAAGGAGCAGTAGAAAGGGCTTTGCTTGGCCTGGCTGAGCAATTCTGGGAGTTGAAGTCCACAAGTCATAAAAGGGCCAAGTTTGAAGGCCCTTGCTCTTGAGTATTGAAGAACAACAGAGGTTATGCTCTGATTGAAGGAAATGGGGAGCTTCTGAAGTCTGCTAAACTAGAACACAACAAATATACCTGCAAGTAGTTTGTATAGTACAGTTCCAATTTTGAGCCTTAGATGAAAGATTCATTATATTATTTCCATAGTCCTTTAAAAAAAAATACACATGCCGATATAGTAGATGGTAAAGTGCAGAACATGCTTGAAATAAACCAAGTTCAAATCCTTTTTTTCATCTTAAAATTCACTGGAAGAAACTTTAACGAGAAATAAAATATGGTTGAAAAAGTCCACAAGTCCTCTCTTGATCTCCTGGGAATAATGATGATGATGATAGAACTAGGGAAGATAACAAAATACAAAGACCTACAAGTAGAAATAGAATGACTGTGGCAAAGGCAAGCAAGGGTAGTACCAATAGTCATAGGTGCCTTGGGTGCAATCCCAAAACATCACTTGAAAACCATTGGCAGTGACAAATTCGCCATTAGTCAATTGCAAAAGGCGGCTTTATAGGGAACAGCTTCCAGCCTGCAATGATATCTGTAACACCATGAAATATCCAGATCTGCCTATCCTTGGTAAGGACTCGATAGGCAGACAAAAATGCCAAACCCAGCCTGAACAGTGTGAATAATAATAATAATAATAATAATAATAATAATAATAATAATAATAATAATAATAAAAAGCAAGGGTAGAATCAATAGTAATAGGTGCCTTGGGTGCAATCCCAAAACAACTGGAGCACCACTTGAACACCACTGGCATTGACAAATTCGCCATTAGTCAATTGCAAATGGCAGCCTTACTAGGAACTACTTCCATCCTGCGACGATATCTGTAATAATATCAAACATCCACATCTGCCTATCCCAGGTCCTTGGTAAGGACTCGATAGGTAGACAAAATGCCAAATCCAGTCTGAACATCTGGCTGACT